GATGAAAATTAATTGTATTTCTTCTCTATCATTCTCAGAAGTTACATAAGCACAGAGAACCTCTCTTATTAATTATAACATGTATAATTCAACTTTTTGGTAAGAAAAAAGTACAAATCTCTCCGGAACCCAACCCCAGAAAAGCAACAATAATAAAACCAGTTAAGAACTTTTTTGTCCCTGTGAAATACTAGATGCCATCGTATTATAATGAGTACAGTTTTTAATTAGCCAACTTTACAATAATTTGAGTTTTTGTTTGGGAAACTAATGCCACAGGATAGCAGTAAGCACCTTTTCTCTGCTATAGACAACATAGTAAATGTTTTAGGCCATGTGGATCATATGATGTCTGATGTAGTTATTCAGTTCTACTGCCATAAAGGAACCATATCTGTATTAAACAGACAAGACTGGTGTTCATGGTATTCCAATAAAATTTTTTATATACAAATAGTTTATTGTTTACATATCTCTGCTATAGGGAAAGCACCTGTAATAAAAAAAAATTGGAGGTTATTCATTCTTAAATGGTGTTTGAAAAATTCAAAAATTGATCCTGCAAAATTATTTACATCAAGAACGTTATCTCAGCCAGGCATGGTAGTGCACAACTGTAATCCCAGCAACTTGGAAGACTGAGGCAGGAGTATGCCAAGTTCAAGGCCAGCCTCAACAACTTAGTGAGGCCCTCCACAATTTAGGAAGACCCTATCTCAAAAATTTTAAAAAATAAAATAAAAAGGGAGGGGGGGGTGTAGCTCAGTGGTAAAAGACTCCTGAGTTAAATCCCTGGTTTGAAGAAGAAGGAAAAGGAGGAGGAGGAGGAGGAGGAGGAGGAGGAGGAGGAGGAAGAGGAGGAGGAGGAGGAGATGATGAAGATGACCATAGTCAATAAAAGTTTTCCTTAGATGGTGCAGGAAATCTAAAGTTTCAAAGTGTATATGTGCTAATAGTAAACCAACAGTGGATGAAACCAGAGATAAAACAGAAAGGAATTATCAGTTTTTCTTTTTAAACTCAAGTTCATGTACAAAGTGATTTTCATATGGAATGAATCATTTAGTCTTCTAGGAAAAATCTTAATGTTTCAATATGGAAAAAGTCAAATGATTTTGATCATAAGCAATTAAATTAGAAAGTTACTACTTGAGTACAATTTGGATACTAGTTATTCGTTGTTCCATTGTCTGGGAATTTAGTAGAAAGAAATTTGGTTTCTTTTCTATAACAGGGTGAATTTCCACTAATACACTCAAAATGCTTGAAACCATATGGCAAGTAAATAACCAAGAACAGTTGGAGCCTGAGAGGTTGTTAGGGGCTACAGCTATACCACTTTGGGGTATTTACCTTGAAGAATTAAAGTCATCTTACTACAGTGATACATACATACTTATATTTATAGCAGCACAATTCACAATAGTCAAACTATGGAACCCACCTAGGTATCTAACAGTGTATGAGTGGATAAATAACATGTAGTCTATATACACAATGGTGTATTCAGCCCTAAAGAAAAATAAAATTATGACATTTCCAGGAAAATGGATAGAACTAGAGACTATCATATTAAGTGAAAAAGGTCTAAATCAGAAGGTTAAGGGTTGTGTGTTTTCTCTCATATGAGGAAGCTAGAATGGAAAAAAAAAAAAGAAAATAAAGGTATGGATGGATCTCCTAAAAATCAAAAGAAGATCAATAGAAGAAAGGGACCAAGGAGTGGGAGGTAGGGAAGGAAGGGAGAAATGCTGAGGAGTGACATTGGCTAAGTTATATTGTTATATTGTGTGCATATATTGTTACATATGAATATGTAACTATAAATCCCATCAATATGTACAACTCTAATGCACCAATTTAAAAATGTGGGGAAAATAGAAAATATAGAATTTTTTTTTAAAAAAAAGAAGTGTTAGGGTCTAGAGCCAATATGTAAGGAAAGCACATGGAGTCAAAATTATCTTTGTAATTCTCTCCCAGACAATATGAACTTTTCCCTCTATCATTGCATAGAAAGCTCCTGATTTTTAAAAATTTGAAGATTAGATAAAACAACTTTTAGGGTCTGTATTATATATATCTTTAGTGCTGAGCGTAGATAAATGCTCGTTCCAACAGGCGAACTAAAAGGAACTCAAGAGTAACTGATTCTAACCTCCTATCTTATGATCATCTTGGAATGTCAGCTACAATTCCCAAGACCAGGTAAATTATGTCTTGCCCTTTTTGGACTGGGTGTATGTATCATTAGTTCTTGCCATGAAAATGCTGTGTAACAAACTATTTGAGAACCAGCTACCTTGAAATAATAATCATTCATCTATGGGTCACCTTGGTGTCAGCTGATCTACTCAGGACTTGGCTGGAGAGGTCCTGATAATGTCAGCTAACCTCACTTATACATCTGTTGCCAACCAAGTGGTGTAGTAATGCAGTAGACACAGGCTGAGCTCAGGTGAAGAAATTTCTTTTCCTTATGGGCTGGCAGATTGACCAAAGCAAGTCCTTCCCTAAGAGAGCAGCAAGCCAAGTCACACGGGTGGTTTTTCCTTCCTTCCTCCTCCTCCTCCTCCTCTTCCTCCTCCTCCTCCTCTTTCTTAAATATGTTTAGTTGTAGATGGACACAATACCTTTATTTATTTATTTGTTTGTTTATTTTTTAATTTATTTATTAGTGGTGCTGAAGATCAAACTCAGTGCCTCATCATACTAGGCAAATGCTCTGCCCTGAGCTACAACTCCAGTTCACACAGGTGGTTTTGGAGACTCCTTTTGTTGTTGTTTGTTTGTTTTGCTTTGCTTTTTTACATGTGCTAACATTATTCATTTAGTCAAAAATCAGATGACTGAGACCACCAGCTGAAAATTACACATTGCCCACAATGGAAGTAACTGAAAAGTTATAGAGCAAAGTATTTGGATACAAAAAAGAGCAAAGCATCAGAAACATTAGTGAAACTGACCACAGTGTGTGTACTTGGATAACTGGCTTGTACTAAAGCAGGAGTTCTGAAGCTTTTTAGAAGTGGAAAACCTTTATACTTTGTTTTAATTAGCTGTTGCATCATTCTGGCCAAAAGACCCTGCAGAAACAACTTAAGAGGAGAAAAGGTTTATTTTTGCTCATAGTTTCTGAGGTTAAGTCCATGATCAGCTGACTCCATAGCTCTGGCCAATAGGCAGAACATCATGGCAGAAGGGCATAGTGGAGAAAATCAAATCAGGACATGGGGTCAAAAAGCAGAGAGAGAGAGAGAGAGAGAGAGAGATTGCTCTGCTTACCAGGGACAAAATATAAACCTAAAAGGCATGCTCTTGTTTACCTTCTTCCTCTAGCCACACCCTGTGTTACCACCCAGTTAATCCGAATCAGTGGTTTAATCCACAGAGTACATTACAACTCTCACAATCTAATAATTTCACTTCTGAACACTCTTCCATTCCCTCACACATGAGCTTTTGGAGGACACCTTATATCCAATCCATCACACACTTTTAACAATCATCAAGGATCTCAAAGAGGACTTGATGTGTTTAGATCTATTTATATTTACAGTATTTGCAATTCAAACAGAATTTTCAAGTGTCTTTATTTTAGAATAAGAGCAAGCTTATTACTTGTTAACATAATAAATATATTGTTGGGCTGGGGTTGTGGCTCAGCCTTAGAGCTCTTGCCTAGCACATGCGAGGCCCTGGGTTTGATCCTCAGCACCACATAAAAAATGAAGAAATAAAATAAAGGTATTGTGTCCAACTACAACTAAAAAATATATAATTTAATATAAAAGATTATATTGTTATAAAAATTATGTTTTCTAGAACAAACAAGCTAAAAAAGAGTCCTTGGTGAATTCATTAACATCTGACAAATGACAGCTGACACTTTATACCTATTTCCTCTCCATTGAATCTTTGTTTTCCTCTTCATGGTGAAGCATATAAAATAATTGGCACTCATGCAGATATATTGTTGTAAAAGGCAAAAAGTGGCTTAACAGCCCTTTTAGTTAATTGTGGATTTTCTTTGATATTGCACTAAAACTTGACAAGTGAGAACTTCTTAGGAGTTGCTTTATGGAATGTGAAGAAAAATCACTGAAATCACTAAACTTTCTGTACCTTATTATATTAAAATCCATTGATGTATATTAAATACTGAATATATTATATATTGAATAGTTCTTCTATTTATACATGATTTATAACATCAAGCATTGATCATTTGGAAAATATTTGGTTCATTGAATTATATATATTTTCTAAATATTGACATTTAATTATAAACATTTTTAAAATTATACTTTGTGACTAAATTTATCAGAAATATCTCAATACTGGGAAATAATCATGCTTATAGAAGTGGATACCAATTTTCCACAATTCTAGTTGGTTTAGGGAAGTAATTTTATCACTTGAGTAAAAATACTACAGGCTATTTTCCTTCAAGTGAAACTATACATGTCTGTCAGATACCCAGTATGAATCACAAGTGTTTGTCTATCACTTGCTTTTTCATGCAAAACTGGTTCTCTATCCATGAAATTTTAAAGTGACTAGTTAAGCTAACAACTCAACCAATTACACAAGTGCATTCCTTTGTGGTCACCATCCTATTTCTAAATGTGGTCACACATCAAACCTTAAAAACATGAGAAATAAGTCACTCTTATTTAATAAAAATTGATCCTTTTTGTAGCTTTAGTAAGGATATTTTTAGGTGAACTCTCTCTTTCCCCCTAGTGAGTGGTGGGACAAATGCAGTGACTTCTGATACAGTCTGGTGCTAATGCCTTGTGTTCTGCTAAGGTGCCAGATTTTAGATTGTCGGTGCAAATGTCAACCTAATGAAGAAGAGGGGGAAAAATAGTCTTTGTGAATCAAAGGATGGACCATGACTTATGGCATAACAATTTGCTAAAGATTTACTAAAAGATATTTGTATTACTATTTTTAATCATTGCAGTAAATTCAGATTTTTTCATGTTCTTCCTTAGGGTTGTTTTGTTGGCTTTGATCTGGCACATGCAGTTGGAAACGTTGAACTCCACTTACATGACTGGGGAGTCGATTTTGCCTGCTGGTGTTCCTATAAGGTAAAAACAATTTAACATATTTATAGCCTTTTATTTCACATTGATATTAATCTAAAGGAAAAACTGGCTCCATGGGCCAATTTCAAAGATTGAAGTTACTTTGCTCCATTTCTTTCATTACTGTATGGTCTGATTTTAGTTATAAGTAGAATTGTATGAAGAATGATATGATATTTAATTTTAGCACTTCCATCATTACAGAGAACTTATTTCTTTAATTCCTAAGCTGTTATGAAAAAATCAAAAGGTTCTAGAGAAAGAGTCCCACAATTAAAACTTAATTCAAATTAATTAGGATTCTTAGTGTTAGTAAGCTGTGAAATTTCTACATATGTAAATATAATTCTTAGGCAATCAGGTTGGTATTTGAAGACAATTTAATTAATAGGTGAAAATAAAACAAATTTAATATAGGCATTTAAAACATATGATGCCTTTATTATTATTTCAATATTCTTGTGGCAGAATAATTTAAATATGGGAGCTTTGAAATTAGACCTCAATGGAACTATCTACTAACTGCGGAAAAATTTGATCAAACTTTTAAAAAGACCAGTTTTGTTATCAACCTAACAATACAAATTTTCATTAGGTTTTCATTTAACAAGGTGCCCCAAGATTCTGTTTTATTTCAAAAGTTCAAAAATTTTAAAGTAAAATGTTATATTTTCATTTAAAAACTATGGTATTGTTTATTTTTAACATATTTAGGTAAATCCATAAAATTTAACTTATTTTCCTTCCAGTATTTAAATGCAGGAGCAGGAGGTCTTGCTGGTGCCTTTGTCCATGAAAAGCATGCCCACACAATAAAACCTAC